TTAACACTGGAGCTTTCTCTGGGCCTGGCACCTGGTCTCAGAGCCAGAAGGAAACTTGGAGAGCTCACGTCACGGGTGGGGAGACCGAGGCCTCCCTCGCGGCAGGGCGGCTGTCCCCGCGCTGGCCCTGACGCCATCCGGGCCTGCGACCCACTGTGTGCAGTGGCCCATTTCAGGACCTGCCCAGCTGTCCCGGCGCCTCGGGCCCCGTGGTCCCTCCTCGCGTCACCCCCTGCTACCCACGCCCCCCACCCCCCGTCCCTCTCGCTCTTTCCAGCCCGAGTCCATCCGGGGGGGCCGGGACAGCCGTGGCCAGAAGGTGCAGGTGACGGAGGTGCAGGCGACGTGCCCCAGCTCTGGCCCCCTCCCAGCCCCGAGCTCGCCCCTGGCCAGCACTGCCTCTCCTGGACGTCGTTCCACTGCCCGAGGGGGTCAGGAGGGACGTGGCTCTGGAAAGTGGGCTCTGCTTGTCCCTGCTGCTTGGGGCAGCCCCCGCTTGTGCCTCAGCGTCCCCATCGCCGCTGGGCTATCGCCCGCCCCGGTCCTGCGCGTTCCCTGCCCGACCTGCCCCCCCGTGGCTCCTGATCGTCTCGTGTATGGGGGCCAGAGGTCTGTGCGGGGACGGGGCGTCTCCCGGACCCCTCGCGCCCGCTGTGGTCCCCGCGGACGCTCCCGCAGCCCCACGTCTCTCTCTCCTGCCACAGGCAGCGTGTTTTGGTGGCTGGTCCAGGGTCTCCCCCAGCCTTGCCCGGCTGGGCTTCCAGAGGGCGGGAGTGGAGCTGGCCGTGTCCCCACTGTGCACCCAGCACCCGGCACAGCGCTCGCGGCCGCGGGTGCGCTGAGCGAATAGACGGTGGTATTCGAGGTTGCAGAGCTGCCTCCCAGAGACGGGCCGCCTTCTCTCCCTGGGGCGGGGGGCCCTGGGGCCACGTGAGTTGTTTCCCCGAGCAGGAGAGACCGGAGGTCCCCAGGGGTGAGCCTCAGAGTCTGTGTGGAGCCACTCGTCTCTCGTGGCCAGCTCCTGGCCGGGGCGGACGCTCTCGATGATGGCCAAGCCTGGCTCTCGGGGCTCCAAGCGGGAGTTGGGGAGGGGTCTTCTCCTCCGCCAGAAGCCCTGCCTCCCCGCCTGAGCCTGGCTCCCACACCATGTTTCTCGGGCCCGAGGCGCCCTCCGACCCAGCCATCCCATCCCACCCCAGCTCCCAGCCCTGGTCTGGGCGAACGCTTGCTGTCCTTAGTCAGAGAAGGACGGGGATGGCCGCAGAGCTGGCGCCCCTCCTCCCACCCCCTTCCCTTGGACAGGTCTGGGACGGTATGGTCACCCTCCCGGGGCTGCAGGGCTCTGTCTGTGGTGGGGAGCCTTCTGGGGGTCTTCGTGTCTTGTGATGGGCGTACTGTGAGTGATGGCCGCGGGTGTGTGGGCAGCGAGGCCTCGCTGCTCCCTGTTCCTGCACAGCCTGGTGGCAGCAGGGCCGGCCTCAGAGGCGGCGTCCCCTCCCCTGGGGAGACAAGCCTTGGGCCCAGGAGGCACCGGCCTTGTCTGCCCACCCCCTTCCCTGCCGGAGGGGAGAGGTGGAAGGGGGTCCATTTAGAGGATCAGCTCATTTCACGGCTTACTGGTTTCCCATCTAAGCGCCCAGCCCGAATGGACCAGGGGTGAGCCCCGAGATGCTGCGGGCACAGCCTCTCCAGCCTCAGTTTCCTCATCTGAGAGGGGAGGGGGCGGAAAGGAGAAAGGAGAAAGCTCTGCTGGGGGCCTGTCGGCATGCTCCTTGGCCCTCACCCTGCAGGGGCGCCTGTCTCCGCCGTTTCTGTGACTTGCTGGCAGCGTTTCTAGGCAGGCGCCGACGGGGCACGTGGGCAGAGAGGGTCGTGTAGAGGGGACCCGGCGAGCACACCTCCAGGAGCCCGCGTCCTGGGCCGTGCCAGGTACTCAGCGCACGGTCACGCTCGGCTGGCGCGGCAGCAGCCGCCGTCCGCCTGAGCACAGCCCTCGGAGGACGGCCCCTCGCTGCACCTTCCCGACGGTGAAAGCACCGGGTTCTGGGGGGCCGCTGGGCCTCCTCGCGTTGGGGGAAGCGCCCACCTTCCAGCAGGTGCGTGGGAGGGGCAGGGCGCCGGCTTTCGGGTGGCGTGAGTTTTGGGTAAACACAGTCGCGCCCTTTGCGGAAACCTCGGGCGGGAATGTTTTGTCACCTCCACTTGCTTTACAGTTTGAGGGGAAGAGCCTTTGCTGAACTTCACAGCCAGAGAAAAGAACGGCAACCCCCCCGCCCCGGAAGACGGCAGCCTGCGCTGTGGGCGTGGTTACTAGGGCACCCCCTTCTCGGACAGGTCTTCAGCCCCGCCCCCCCCCCTCCAGCCTGCTTTTCTAGGTTCTTCCACCGGCGGGATGTCATGGATCTTTCTCCCTAAATCTTGAGTTGAGCTGAGTTTCCGAGGTCCACGGCGTCTTGCCCAGACCTTCCAGACCAGGGTGCAGAAGCCGTGAGGTGGGAACCCGTGTGTCCCGGCAGGGCAGGAGGTCCACGAGCTGGGATGTGGGCCCTGGCCTTTGAACATTGCATGAGGATCTCCAGGTCCTTTCTCCTCTCCGCCTCCTCCCCTCTCAGATGAGGAAACTGAGGCTGGAGAGGTGCCCGTCCGAGATCACCCCGTGGGGGCGGGCAGTCCCGCAGCGTCTGGTGGGGGCGTGTCTCGTGGTAAAGGCTGTGAGGTTTTGGGTGGGCAGCGTAGCCGGGGTCCGGGTGCTGGAAGGGAGGAGGTGGGGAGCTGACAGCTCCCGGTGGGGGTGGGGTGGGTGCGTGGCCAGGGGCTGCTGACGATTGTGGCTGGCTGCACACGGGCCTCGGGAGAGCCCCCCACCCCGTGTGCCATCTCAGGGTCCTCTCGGGGACTCCTGCTTTAAAGACAAAGAGGTGGAGACTCCGGGTCACAGCCACTGGCCTGCTGGTGCCTGGCCGAAACCCCTCTGCCCCACCAGCTGTTTCCCCGGGGGGGGGGCAGCGGTACCTGGGCGGGTGACCAAGGAGGCATCTGGGTCCTGGCCCTGGGTGCGCTTGGAGTGTGGGCCGACCCTGCCCCTGCGAATGGGGTTTGGCAGGTGTGTCCGCCCCTGAGACACGCAGCGGCACCCGGTTGTGGTGTGAGACTGGGCGTTCTTGGCCCCTCTCTGGGTCTCACGCCGGCCTTGGTGTGGGTGGCAGGCCCGGGTGCTGTGCGTGGCCAGGCCCCCTGCTCTTCCTTGCTTGGGGCGCTGGGGGCCCAGTAGCTGGTGCTGTGTGCGGGGACTGGGGCCCTGCTGTCCCTCGGTGGGCCTGGGAGGGACCGGTTTACACCTGACCCTGGTGGCTGCCTTGGCGGGGGTGCCTCCGAGGAGCGGGCGGACTGGGGGAGGGGCGGCTGGCACTCTCCATGGATGCAAGGGAAGATGCTTTGGGCAGAACTCACTCCGCCGTTCATTCATCTTGCCTGGATCAGGACCCACTTTGGGGCACGGGTCCCACGCTGGGGGGCTTGGCTGGTGGGGAAAGGCACACACGCAGACGCTCAGCATTGGTAAAGCTGGGCCCTCCGTGTGAGCCCGTGGGTAGCCCAGAGGTGAAGGGTCGGGGTCAGGGGCTCAGGCGAATTACCTCTGAGCGTGGCTCTCTCTTGGCCTGAGCCTTAAGACTGTAGGATTTTGTCTGGCGCCAGCTTCTTGCACCCCTTCCTTTCTGGGGGGTGGGGTTGACACTTGGCCAGCATCTCTCAGGCCAGGCCTTGCGGGCCGTGCTGTGCCCGGTCGCACAGGAAGACTGAGGCCGCCGGCAGGGAGGCGGCCAGGGAGGGACTGCGGTCCTGGGGGCGATTCTCCGGTGTCGGCGCTGCCTGGGTGGTCCCCTGCGCATGCCCCGCACGCATGGGGAGGGGGCGAGGGCCTTCCTCTCCGCTGCATGGCTCACCGCCCCTCCGGGCCCCAGGGCCTTGGCACGGGCTCAGGAATCCACAGTGATCTCCGGCCGGCTCCAGCTTCCTCAGCAGGGTGCAGGGCAGGGCTGCTCCTGTGCTCCCCCGGCCCCTCTGGAACTCGCTACCTCTGGTGTCAGTGACAGAGCGCCCGGCTGTGGCGGGCTCCTAGGGCCGAGGGAGCGGCCCCCTCCCCGGCCCCAGCCACAGCTGCCCCAGCCCTGAGCATCCTCGGGCAGCGTGAGGCCAGCCTGGGGCCAGCGCAGCAGGGCTTGGCGTGGGAGGGTGGGGATCAAGCGTCCCCCACCGGTGGGCTTGGGCCTCGTCCCGAGCCGGGCCAGCCTGGCCTGGTCTTCTTGCTTCCAGAAGCTGCACCTGGAGATAATAACAGTGTTGGGGTCTGAAGGGCCGGGAGGCGCCGTCCACGGACACGTGGGGAACTGAGGCCCGGAGCGGAGGATCCCTTGCCCCAGGCCATGCAGCGCCCTGGGACCAAGGTCTGCCCCCTGCCTCCATGCCCTTGGAGGGGGTGGCTGGGTGGTGGTCTCAGGCCTCTGTGGCAGGTGGCACAGAGCAGTAAAGGAGCCAGCTGCTCATAGACGGGACGTGAACCTTTGCCAAGCTGTCGGGCTGCCAGGGAGGGCGTGGTGGGCTTCTCTCGGCCGGCCTTCGGGGTGTGCCCTGGACTTTGAGTTTGCCTGGAGTGCAGTCTCCCGGGCCTCGACTTGCCCAGCTGTGCGGTGGGCCCGTGGGAGCCCACGCGCCCACTGAGGGGCAGAGATGGCCTTAGCGCCCGCAGTGCCCGTGCTGCCTCGTGGCAACCTGTTGGCACCTCTGGTTCTGGCGTCACCCAGGGCCCCGGCTCTGGCGGCTACGCTGGTTCCCGGGCCCCGGCTCAGCCAACGCTTTTTGCTGATCGTGCAGGAACTGCTAATTAAGCTAAATCATTCCCAGAGCTCCCTGACATCAGTCCACGGGATCGGCCCTGCCGGAGATCCTCGCTGATAAGACACTCCCCGCCGGCTCTTTGTAATTTGTTATTAAACAACCCTGCTCGTTCACCCTGTGGAGGTACCGGCGTGAGCGCTGGGCTCCAGGCCCGGGCTGCCCGAGCTCAGCTGCAGCGGGTGTAGGCCTGGGTCTTCTCCGTCTCCCGGGACTCTTTCCGCCGTCTGAGGGGCAGCGGCAGGAGTTTCCTCGGCTTGAGTCCCGGGGTCGGGGTTGGAGGAGGCCCGGGCCCTCAGCCTGGGGAGCACCAGCCCGTCTCTCACCTGGTTCTCGCTCTTCAGTTACGGAGGCTCCTTTCCCCGCTTACCACGTGTGTAAGATACGGGGGTGGAGGGTGGAGGTGGAGGAGAGGCCTTAAGTTGAGACCTCTCGCTGGGCCCTGTCCCCAGGCGCCCCTGTCCCTGCAGAGGCCTCCTCCCGGTGAAGGAGGACACGCCGGTATGTGGCCCAGTCCAGTCCGGGCTCCCAGTGCCCGGTGCCCCCACCGGCTCAGCAGACGGTCGGTCGGGGGCTGGATGGAGGCGTGACCAGGCCCCCAGGAGGAGGCGAGGCCCCTTCCAGGAAGATGGGAGCAGCTCTCACCCCGGCCATCCCAGGGCTCTGGTGAGTTCGGCCCCGAGGGCCTGGGGCTTCCCTCCCGGGGCCAGACGGCCCCTGCCTCGGGGACCTCCCGGTACTTGGATGGGGTAGACGTGCTCCCTGCAGGGTGAGGGGCCAGGCAGCAGAGAGTTCGGAGCGCTGGCTGTCTTTTTGAGTGAAATTGGGCTCCGTTCCGTGGGCGGTGCACACGCGTGTGTGGGTGTGAGGGACGAGGGCCTCTGGGGTCCTGTCGTCCTGTCCCTGTGAGGTCCCCACGCCCCCAGCCCAGCCCAGGGTCTCCTCGCCCCTCGGGTGCTGACCGGGTTTGGGAGTTACGGGCCTGGCTCTGAGGTCCAGCCTGGGGTGCCTGGGTCCCTCTCGGCCAAGTAACCTCGGAAAGTCCTTTTCCCTCTCCGGCCAGGCGGGCACCGTCGCACAGCTGCCCTGCCGTCCCCTGCAGCCTTGAGGTTCAGAGGTGGAAAAGGAGGTGCGGGCCGGGGGCGAGGCCCCCTCCTCCCAGCGCAAGGCCCATTAGCCTGAGACCTTACACCTCTTGTTTACGCACAGTCGCGCACGTACACGTGTACGTGCATAGACACGTGTCTCCGCGTGCGGTGAGCGCGGTGTTCAAGGCGCTGTGTCCCACCATGGATGACACTCTCCTCTTCCCTCTCCGGCTTCCAGACTCTGCTGGGTCTGAAGACCTAGCGGGGTGCTGGGCTGGGACTCCCGGGCACCTGGGGAGGGGATCCTGTTGCCTGACGAGCTGGGATGCAGCCAGCTGTGGCCCCTGGTCTCCTGATGTGGGGCCGGGGGGACAGCCACCTGTCTGTGCCCATCGGGGGCGTCTCCGGAGGCTTCAGAGGGCATGTGGGGTGACTTCTATCCACGGTGGGCCCTGGGGGAGCCTGAGTTTTGATGACCTCGGACCTGAGTTTGAACCCTGGCAGGCTGCCCTCTCCCTGGCAGGAGACCCCTCTGGCTGGCGGTTCCCGCTGCTGGGAGCACCGGGGCCCCTCCCTCGTGGCCTGCTCCTGCCAGCCTTGCCCTGCCACTGTGTCCAGACCGGGCGACCCCACCTGGTGCCTCCTAATTACCTGCCTTATTTCTGTGCCAGTTCGCACTCCATCCCCCTGTGGGTTCTCTGCTATGTGCCCAGGTCTAGAGCAGCACCTGGTGTGGAGAAGACACCCGGTCCCCACCTGATGGAAGGGGTACAGTCATTTGAAATTCTGTGTCTCTCTGGGTGCCGCTGGCCGTGTCGAGCCTGTCGGGATTTCAGAGACCGTGGCGTGGTGGCCCTGTCATGCTTCCTGGTAACCGCTGAGCTGTCCCTGAGAGCCAGCTGGGCATTGTGCGGGCCACTGGCAGGGGGCACCCGGGTAGGAGTGCTGGGCGCGTGGAGGCCCAGGTGTGGCAAGTCTGCAGGTTGGGAAGGGCTGGCCCCGGCAGGACCTGGTGGGCGGTGTACCCAGTGGAGCTCTGACCACGGCAGGGCCCCTCGTCCTAAGAGATGATGCTGCTGAGATGGGGGGCCGCCAGGCTGGGTGGCTGGGTGAGGGGTGCAGTCACTGTGGGAGGTGGCGCTCCCTGCAGCGTCCCCTCCACTGACTGGTCCTGGATGTCTCCCGGGGGCCGGGGGCCAGGCCGTGTCAGGCCTGAACGGCAGGCGGCTGTGCCGGGAACCTCAGCCCCCCGGGCTGAAGATGGGGTGGGGGAGGGCGGCTGGCGCTGGGGGCCCTGGGCCGGCTCCGGGGGTCAGCGGCGGGAGGGACCCTGGGCCCCCTCCCTCCCGGGGACGCACGGCAGAGGGCACGCGGAGGGGATTTACCTCCACGGTGGACCCCGTCCCAACTCAGACTCAGACCCCACCTGAACTAAAACGCTCCCGTCGTCCTGGCCCAGTGCGGGCAGCCAGGTGTGGCGCCAGAGCGGGGTCCCCGCTGCCCCCACTCCTCCAGGTGTGGCCTTGGGCGAGTCCCTCGCCCTGACTGGGCCTCAGTTTCTTTCTGTGGGTGGGGCTCAGCGGGACCATTTTTTGGGGAGCAGGGGTGCCCTTGAGTGGCAGCTGCCAGCCCAGGCGCCTCTTGTTTTTGCTTAAAATTCAGCCAAGGGGTGCAGGCCGCGTGCAGGCCCTGGGCTGGGCTGGAAGGGGTG